CTCCATATAGAATGTCATTCCCTCTTCAAAAACACACCCAGAGTGTTGCTTTGACTCCTTCATGCATGTTAGAGAAATCCTTGAATCTCCTGGAGCTGTCCAAACACTTGCTGGTACAAAAAAACCACCTTTTTACACAAAGCTCCTCCCCTGGAGCTCAGTGCCGAGCCCCCGCCCCACAGAGCACCCCTCCCCTGAAGCATTGTTGTGCAAGACGTGCTGAAGCGGGAGTGTCAGAAACGGTAGGGGATTCTTAAAAAGACAGGATCCAGTTTCAAGGTGTTTAGATAGGCTTTGATGCAAAGTCAACTTGATTTTTGATATTTACAGCATTTCCATAACAACTGAAGGTAACATAGTTACTTGATTGTGGTATGTGCCGGAAAACCACATAGTACCCCTCCTTAAAAGCCATATTTGTGTGGGAATAATGTTGATCATCTATGGCAAACATCTTGACTTGAATTGACTTCAGAAGGCGGTAAGCTGTAGAGATACTGTATGATAACTTTCTGCTTGTTTATTATTTTCTCCTTCAGTTAACTGACAGATGCACATTTTTTTTTCTCCCCTATTTTTTTTTTTTTTTCTTGTAGAGAAGCGCCTGCACGCAGCGAACCAGCTTGTGGAGCATCCAAACAGCGTGCAGTATTTCTGGCCCGGTGTTCCAGTCGGCCATGTTTTAGATGATCACGTGCCGTTCCATAATAGAGGTGTGCCGTATTATATAACCTGACTACCATGAATTTAAAACAAGAGAGAAAATAATATTACTGGTTTTAGGTGACCTTCCACCTCTGCCTCTCCTTCAGGTGTTCGGGTCCTGCACCTCATCCCTGCCAGCTTTCCGTCTGTATGGCACAGGTTTGAGGATAACGAGGAGAACCTGGACCGCCCCACGATTACAAACCTCAGCAAGATTCTTCAGATTTTTGTTCTGGAGTACCTCAACGCCAAACCTACCAGCCCTACAAACCCTCAAAATGCTCCATGAACTCATTCAATCCTCCTCATAGCTCATCTTAGTAGTAGTTTTTCATGTCAAACATCGAGGTCTTCAGAAATGTTATCTTGTTTGATCAAAGCAGTAAGACGTGAGGTAATGTTTGATTTATTTGCAGGTCATGATATTTCTTCTATTGTTGATCTGTTCAACGATCGCAGGAAGTGGGGTTCATTTTTTTACCAAAGCAGCATCTCTGAAAGCCTTCACGTCCCGTCTTCCTGCCTATAGAAGTGGATTACTTCCTGTGCTGATGTCTCATGTGCCTGTTTCTGTTTATATGATTCTATAAGCTAGCTTTTAATGTAAATGCCAGAATAATCCACACTGCCAAATCTGGTATCCTGTATTTTGACAGTGAATAAATGTTTGTGCAGAAAATAAGGAGTGTAAAGCGACACAGTGTGACGCCGTTGTGCCTCTTCAATGTGATGAATTTATCCATTTTGTCCCACTCTGATCATCCATTTTTTTTTTGTTTCGTGCCTTTTTTATCAGATTTTCCCCCCTTGTGAGACCAAGCCCTCTTTCCTTCCTTCTGCTTCACTTCAACAGTGATCTCATGATTCCTTTAATCCTATCGGGGAGGCCCTTCCCTGAATTCCCCACTACCTAAATCCTGCTCACTTCAGACCACTCCCATGGAAGGTGAAATTGGGATTTGACCCTGTCTGCTACAAACAGTAATACCTAACAAGAAAAGAAAAACCCACCAGGAAAAGCAGCACTGCCGGAGCAAAAAAAAGAGGATAAGCAAGACAAAAAGTTGTATACAAATTCCAGCATGCTTTTGACTGTGGATTGATGCGTGTCCGAGTGCAATGATGGTTCAGCTTTTCCTATGCAGCTGATTATAGGGCAGAGCACTGGGACTTTCTCCTACACAAGGTGTGTTTCAGTCTGTTGGAAAACAATAAGGAGGCCAAGCAAGATTACTGTCTTTAGAAAAGGTTTGGCTTTAAAACAAATAAAAGGAATCTTAAACACAACAAAGCTTCGACAATCCCATAATACAGGCATAAAAGTCAGAATTTAAACTGTGAGAAGTGCACACAGTGAAGGAACTGGTTTTGGTCAATTTATTAAACAGTGTAATTTGATCTTAATGTTTTCTGTTACCGACTGTAGCCACCTGTTGCCCTATGTGCATCATTTTGCATCATGTTGGGATTTTTGTTGGACTTTTCTTGTAGCATGCATGAATTTATGTCGGATGTCACTCAAAACACTGCCCCAAAAATTGTTTACCTCTTGCTCGTCCTTTTATTTAATTAGGAAGAAAATAAAATCTAACCGCTGCATTCCCCACAGAGCTGTGGAATTAAAACTTCATTTTGACCTAAAAACAACAACAACAACCTTACGCCTCACATTGTAGCTTTATTGTGGCACTGTGCGTGTTCCAGAGCTGAGTGCTTTTTGTTCAAGTCACCACAAGACGGCAGTAGTGAGTCATCTCCAAGTTTCCTCCTGTTTTTTTTTTTTTTTTTACATGTAATGAGAGTTACAGGTGTTGAAGAAAGAAAATCAGTCAGATTTGATGTCGAAGACTTTATTTTTAATGTCTTATATAT